TTTGACTCTCGCCCGCGCAAAATGAAACATCGATGTGCCATTCCTTTCGATCACTCGATTAAACGACAATTTCTTTCTCGATGGCAAAGATTTCGAACGAGAAAATTATCGAGGATTTCTTTCGGAGAAAGGGGAAATTTTTCCAAAGCTTCGAACGATATTTTACTCGTACGTTCGTCCCTCCTCCCTCCTCTCTCGTAAATTGTGCGGCGCAATACATCACGTATCATCGAATTCCGCGGTGTTGCTACGATTCCTCTGAATTACTCGATTCTTTCGTCACCATCTGTCGTAAATCCTCGTCACTAATAAATTTCTCTCTTCTTTTTCCACCAAATGGAATCGACGAAACATCCACCTCTCCATTGAATTGTTAAACTATCGATATTGTTATCGATTAACATGTATATATCCAATAACGAGTGAAAATAATTCTTATTATCTCTTCTTCCAAGTTATTATATTCTTTTTTATACTTAATATTAATAACATGCCGTAGAACTTAAAATTCACTCGTTTCGTTTTCTCGTCTAAATTTCTTCGCTCTTGGTTTCGCAATATAACGCGTAATAAATCCACACACGACGTATCTCTCTCATAAAATCGTCTGTTTGTATCTATTCGCGCGAGGATTTTATCGTAACAATAATGGGAAACGTCGAAACGCATTACGAATAACAGGAGCACCGTGTGTCTCCACCAATCTGTCCGTCATTGTCGTCACGACTTTCGTCCGAACGAAGCCGATGGCTCGAGGCGGATAATTGCGCCCCCTCCTCTCCGAGTGAAATTGGAACGCGTCCCGATCGATCGATCGGGAACGAAACCGGCGCCGATACGATCGAAATTATTATTAATTTCGCTGGATTCGAGCTCTCGTCTTGGAGAATCGCGGGGCCAAGCACTTGGGACCCCTCTCGAATATCAATTAATACGTTTCGAAACTCGGTTCAAGCACGAGGGAGGGAGAGGGTGGAGCGTTGCGATCCAGCGTTTCGCCGCGATGACTGATCGACCCGGCTTTGCGCTCCCTCCTCGCCGATATAACGGACGAGTACAAATTATGTTTGCATTCGAAAGACGTATTGTTCGAGTTCCTTCACGGTGGGAACCGAACTTCGAGGATTAAACGTTTGTTTTGATTCACGGAGAGGATCTTCCGGACACCGCGTTCATCGATGATTAATAATGAAAGAGAAAAATATTTTAAAAGCGGATCGATGACGTTATTCGCGATCTTCAAGATAAAGATGAATCCGATTTTTATCTTGCATAATTAAGGAAAGAATAGAAATTATATATACAAATATAAATTAATAGAAAGAGAATTGAACAAATATTTTTGCAAAAATGTGTACTTTTAATGCCTCGAAAGATGAAGGATGTTCATCTTGAAAATAAAGGAATTTGTTTAATGGATCTGATTTTTATCTTGCACGTGGAAACTGATTAAGGGAAAAATACAAATTATATAAAAATATAAATAGGAAGAATTGAACAAATATTTTTGCAAATGTACTTTTAATACCTCGAGAGATGAGCAGGATCTTGAAAATAAAGAAATTTATTTAATGANTTCTGACTTTTATCTTGCTCTTGGAAATTGATTAAAGAAAAAATACAAATTATAAATTGAACAAATATTTTTGCAAGTGTTCTTTCGATGCCTCGAGAGATGAGCAGGATATACATCTTGAAAATAAAGGAATTTGTTTAATAAATCTGATTTTTATCTTGCACGTGGAAACTGATTAAGGGAAAAATACAAATTATATAAAAATATAAATAGGAAGAATTGAACAAATATTTCTGCAAATATACTTTTAATACCTCGAGAGATGAGCAGGATCTTGAAAATAAAGAAATTTATTTAATGAATCTGACTTTTATCTTGCTCTTGGAACTAAAGGAAAAATACAAATTATATAAAAATATAAATAGGAAGAATTGAACAAATATTTCTGCAAATATACTTTTAATACCTCGAGAGATGAGCAGGATCTTGAAAATAAAGAAATTTATTTAATGAATCTGACTTTTATCTTGCTCTTGGAACTAAAGGAAAAATACAAATTATATATACAAATATAAATTGAACAAATATTTTTGCAAGTGTACTTTCGATTATTTATTTTATTATTTCGAGAGACGATCAGGAAAGGGAGAGACAGAGAGAGGATACGGTGTCGGGAATTTAGAGATCGAATCGGAGATTTTTCTCATTTTTTCGTGGAACGTAAATGCGTCCCGAAGAAATCTGGCCCAGCCGCAAGCCGAGACGTCGGGTACACTTGACCTACTTGTCGATTCTGTCGAAATCTCAATCCCGATATTAACCGTGATAGTGCCGATTTAATCCATAAGTATTCGCGGTATGCGGCCCGACGTGATCGATGGAATGTCGGCGAGCTAATTAGGTTGCCTCTACCCGTCGAATAAGCCATCGTGGCCGGATATCTGCCTCGTTATCTCGATAAAAAATAGCGAGATCGAGAAAACGGAGAAGTAACATTCTCGAAAACTCATTTATACTTGCTTTACTGTAGTTGCTTTGGGAATAATTTATAACGTTATCGATACTTGCAACTTGTTATTTCGAAAAGAAAGTATTCGAAAGTTAAAACTGTAGAAATATGCGTGTTAAATTCTTGAAAGTACTTTTCCAATTAATATAAGATACATTTTGCGGACTATTACTTTCTAAGACTTTATTCCTTTCTAAGACAAAATTGTCTTCAAAACACGAAAGAATACGAAAACTTTGATAATGGATTTCCCTTTAAAAGAGATTTTCTAAAAAATTCTGCACGAATCGTGTATCTATTTATCTATTTTTCGAATTGTAAAATAATGATCTACTTTTCACGCATACACAAAGTTAAAAAAAAGAAAGTCTCACAAATGTGTACATCAGTGAAACATAGGAGGAGGATTCTGATCAAGATAAATTCACCAACCTACTCCTCGTCCTTTTTCGATTTTAAGATCTCTTAGAAGGAAGGAGGGAGCTTGAATGAACGCGAGACGTGAGGTCGCGAAGGGAGGAAGTTTATAAATGATTCGCGGTTTAAATATCGTGGATTTGTGAGAGAGATGTAAGAAAACCGTGCGTGCATGCACGATCAGGCCGTGTGTACATAAACGGATGATGGAATCTCTTAAGGTGTGAATAGTGCGTGACGAGCGAGAAGAAACCAAACACCGAGTATGAAAACGAGGCTTTTCCGGATAGAGCATCACGGTTTTCAACATCTAAAAATAGTTTATCTATCTCTGCACACAAGCCTCGCTTGTGAAGAATGCGAGAACAAGAAATTCCTTGCAACTTTGGGGGATTAATTGTCTTTGGACACGCGATGGAATTTCGAAATTCGAGACAACGCAAAGGGGACGCAATTTTTCGTATGCGAAAGACATACGAAATGATGATCCGATAACGAAATCGGATCGAAATTTCTGGAGCGCGAATGTTATTCAGTGAATTTTATTTCATTTTGTTTTTTTTGTTTTTGCTTTGCGAATCGAAGATATTTCTATAATTTTGGGATAAATTTAGTTTGGTAAAGGAGTTTTTTTCGAACAAATTTGGCTTTGTCTTTTGAATAACATCGCGTTATTTAAAATTGTGCGTGTATTTATTCGATATAAATTTCGATTCGATTCGATAGAGAGCAAGGATGGAGAACGATTGGAATCGTTTGTTCGAATAAATAGAAAGATAAATATACTATTAAAAATCGTTCACATTGCGCGTGAAAAGTTTCAAAAGTATCAAAAACATCTCTAACCTAAAGAATTCCACTAAACAAATATCGTTTCGATTGATTAGTTTCGCATAAGAGAGAAAGAGAGAGAGGCGAACGTTGCGTTGTTAAAATCGTTAGATCGTGTGTTTGAAAAGTTTCGTTATCTCGATTGAAGTGGAGATCGTTTCAGTGAAACAGAATTGGGGCGGCAATTGGAACTAGGAACGGGAAAAGAAGTGGAAGAAAAATGGAAAGACGAGAAACGATTTGTTCTACTTTAATCTAAGGGGGAGGCTAAATATGAGAAGTTTCATTAAACTGCTTCTCATATTATGTCTCTTGTATTTATCAAATATCCTTTCGCTGTATTATCATAAAATTGGACTTTTCTTGTTTGTACGTACGTAACGTCATTTCAACGATTCTCAAAATTGAACTGAAAACTTTGGCCATCGACGTGAGAATCAAGAGAGCTTGCACAATCCTACGTAATTCACGATCGACTTATATCAATTTCGAAAGGAGATATACTTTTCAGAGATACGACTCGACGCAATGAAGCATTGTGAACGATATTTCC